TTTAGGATGGATTGCTAGGATTCGACACGATAGTTTTCATTTCGAGCATATCGTTTGCGCATCATCATAGGATCCGAGGTATTATCGACACGACCCGTAGCATCACGACAACGCTGCTCCCTTGCTTCCACAAGCTAACGACAATTACTGTCTGCTTACGTCGCTTTTAGCGGGGGTGGCTGTGTTAGAGCCGAGCACTTCCTGGTTCGCTCGGCATTAAGCGAACAACATGTCATATTGCAAGAAACAATCCATCACTGGACTGGTAACTTCCTCGCATTGCTGACCAGACGATCGAAATGAATTGCCGACTTTCTTGCATGGCAAGAGTGGTTACCTAATGTCCCTCAAGACGTCCTCGTCATCGAGCACGGTGCAATCGGCATACCCTTCCTTTTCTGCAGTTTTCTGTTGTATGCGTCACAAGCCTCTGCTCACCCTGAAACCCTGAAAGCCCAAACCCCAAACCCCGAAACTCAGAAATCAAAAGCCAAAGTCCAGAATCCACAACCCACAACCCAAAATCCACAACCCACAACCAAAACCAAAACCCAAAACCCAAGAACTCGAAAACTCCATAATTGCCCAAACATTGCAAACCTTCCTGTGCAGGTTCCGCATGTCGTGCCCCGGAAAAAATTCAAACCCTTTCTGCACCAACCTCCAAAACGAGAATTTTCCGTCGCCCGGCGGGGACGGTTTGACGTTCACTATCGGCACAATTGCCGGCACGGACACCGTGTTTGGAAGCGCGTTAGGGTTTAGGGGGGGGGACGCTTTTGCGGTGGAGTTTGACACTTCCCGGGAGCAGGGCTTCCGGTGCAACAATGACCCGGACGATAACCACGTTGGGTTAGACGTGCGAGGCGTGTACAACTGCAACATACCCACGTACAGACCCGACCGAGGCCCGGATGATCCCTACATAGCGGTAAGAACTGCGGGGACGCGACGGAAGGGCTTAGCAACACTCTGACACTGAGGGCAGAGAAGCATGTCTGAACAACTATGCCAGGGGTGATGTCCTCTTTCGTAGGTACTCGTAGAGCAGGGCGTCAAAGCTTCGATTCGGATAGACCTTTGGAATGTTGCTTTTGGTTCAAAAACGCCTGGTGCTTGTGCTTCTAGTCCTCCAATGAAGCCGTCTCGAAACCGAAACCGAAACCGAAGACTTCCCCACTACTCTTCAAAAACAAATTCTGCTTCTTAAAATTCTCACGTTTTCAGGGGAGTATGGTGTTCCCCCGGCTTTGCTGCGCCAGAATCAGAATAGGTTTTGTAACATGGACTTTTCTTGTTCCATGGCAATCGGAATGCCTCCCCAGTCTTCTTCTCCAGCATGCTCCTGTGTGCGTTTAGAAACGAGTCAGCGGGAGCTATTTGTGGTTTCATTCACCCTCTCCCGGCCGGTCAACAAGAACGGTGTCTTGCAATGATCAGGCCTAAGTGCGGCCTCCTCAACCCGGTGAATCCCACACTTCGGAATGACGGATGGAAAAGCCGAACCGCTTTCTAAAGATGTGCCGTCAAGGAGAGACAAGAAGCTTACAATCTTTGCAAGGCCTCTGAGTACAAGCGCTCCTTTTCTGCAGGTAATCGCGACCCCTCCCTTCGACCTGAACAGCGGGTACGTCATCACAGCGTGGATCGACTATGACGCCCCAGCAACGACCATTCGTGTCTACGTGGCGGACGGAGACACGTCCACGAAGCCCGGTGCACCGTTGCTGGAGACGACGTTCAATCTTAAACAGACGATTGGTGACGACAACGCCTACGTCGGATTCACCGGTGAGTGCTTGTGTGCATGTGCAATCGACCTTTCACGCATTCTTCTATCAAGCCGACCGTTCAAGGAAAGTCGTGAGGACAAAGCTAGAACGTGAACTTCTTGCCGCTCAGATCAAAAGCGGACAAGTGTCCTAATCGGTCTGAAGTCAGACCTTGTCGATTGTGACCAGAAAGGACTTGTCGGCAGTCTGATTCTCTGCGGAGTGTGCTCCATGGGCGACTTGCAGGCTTGTCGTTGCTGAGAGGTGTCGCCTTTTCTCTTGCAGCTGCTACAACCGTCTGTCGCTGGCAGAACCACGACATCCTAAACTGTGAGTACTTGTTACCTTCGTTCCTGCGTCCTTTCTTAACCGCTCTGGGGGTGGTTTGTTTTGGAATGACAAGAGTTCGACAAGACTTTCCACGTCAAAAGCGGCAGGTTCAGCACCTTCTGTCTTTCCCCTTATTTGTGCACGTCGTTGGGTTACCTAGCTTCGTCCCTGGCTCCTTTATCAGCCGCTCTGGCGGTGATTTGTTTTGGAATGACAAGAGTTCAACAATACTATCAAGGTCAAAAGCAGCAGCTGGTTCAGCACCTTCCGTCTTCCTCAGTTTCTGTGCACGTCGTTGGGAAAGAGCTTATGATTCTAGATAGCCGATGAGCAGTCCCAAGGGAACACGGACCGCCAACACGGAAAAACCGCTGTCTCCGGATCGACTTATCCAAATTGACGGCTGCGCCCTTTTTGCTGATCATTGCCGGAGTGGATTACTTGTTCCATGAAGCGTGCGAAACAAAAACAGACTCTTCATCTTATATCGCGAAATGAGAGTGCTCAAAGACTCGTTTTCTGCTTTCCTCGCGTCATCGTTTTGCTTGTAACCTTGCATGTATCTAGGTGGAAACTTCGATAACATCACTGAACTCAGGTTTCTCTTCTTTTCCAGGGGAGTTCATAGGCGCAGGTTTCAATAAGCCCCCCAGGATCCTCCTCTTCCTTCCGACCACCCTCGGTTTCCCAAGCTTCACAATGAGCATCCAGGTCTTTCAAGCCGCAATTGGGCGCATCTTCTTCTCGATTACGGAGATTGCTTGTTCGATCGACGGCGGCCCGGTTACACCACTCACCCAATTCCCCATTGACGGCCGCTCTACCAACGTTGTGATCGACACTAGTGGGTTCGAACCCGGGAGCACCCATACGATATGCTTCAACGCACGTGACAGCTCGAACGGACAGACAGGCGTGGAGTGCAGGAACTTCACGCTTAGCGGAACACCGGTCACACCTGCCCCGACCACTCCTGCCCCGACCACTCCTGCCCCGACCCTCCTGAGCCCACAACCCCGGCCCCGACCACTCCTACCCCGACCACTCCTTCACCGACCACACCTGCCCCGACCACTCCTATTCCGACCACTCCTACCTCTACCACACCTGAGCCCACAACCCCCGCCCCAACCACTCCTGCCCCAACGACTCCCACCCCAACAATCCCCGAGCCCACAACTCCTGCCCCGACCACTCCATCTCCGACCACCCCTGCTCCTACTACCCCTGCTCCTACTACCCCTGAGCCAACGACCCCCTCACCGACCTCTCCTGAGCCCACGACCCCCGCTCCGACCACACCTGAGCCCACAACCCCTTCACCGACCACTCCCTCACCGACCACTCCCGAACCCACTACCCCGAGCCCGACCACTCCTTCACCGACCACTCCTGAGCCGACCACTCCCTTACCGACCACTCCTGCACCCACTACCCCTCAGCCGACCACACCTGCCCCAACCACTCTTGCCCCGACCACTCGTGAGCCGACCACTCCCACTCCCACTACCCCTCAGCCGACCACTCCTGCCCCAATCACACCTGCCCCAACCACACCTGAGCCGACCACTCCTTCACCGACCACTCTTCCTCCAACCACTCCTAGCCCCACTACCCCAAGCCCAACGACTCCCTCCCCGACCACTCCTTCCCCGACCACCCCTTCACCGAT